GTTTTACAGTAATGCTAAGATGTTGCTTTTCAGTGAAATGGAAGACAGGTATTTCTGCCATGGAAGACTTGAGTCATTCACAGCAAAGGTTACCAGAATTCACAATGTCTCCCGCACAACAAAAGCAACAGATGAGTCAACTAAATATTAGCTAACAACCTGTTATTGCTTTCTAAAGGGAACTTTGTCTAACTGTAGAACAGTGTAACAGATGCTCTTCTAATCAGCTATGTAATCCTGAAGTAAAACAAGATCATACTTTGAAAGAGAGAATTTTAAATACTGATAAAGAGATGCCACAAAGATGGAAATATTTATAAAGATATTCTAATCACCCAACCATTTCATTCTCACTCTAAAATTGAAAACAAAAAATCTCACTGCTAAAAGTATCAGGGAAATAACTTAATCCTAGAGAGAGATGAATTTTAAAAGCTATAGGTGGAAATGTGAGAAAGGTACCTTTCCTTAACCAAACATTTCAGGCATCCCAAAAGGCAAACCAAATACCCATGTTCCACCCAACAGCAGCTTAAGCAGTAAAACATTACAGATGCAACTGCAGCCCAGTCTGACTCCTCCCAGATTCCTTTCTCCTTTCTCTCTCCCTAGAGGTTACCACTATCTTGAATGTGGTGTTTGTCTTTCCCACAGGTATGAATCCATAAATGATCCAGTAACAATGTTTTTCATATGGTTATTTTACAAATTTAATTTTATATTTTCTTTGGAATACATAATACCTGCACTACACAGTTCAAAACTATAAAAAGATATACAGTGACATGTCCCTCTGCTACCTAGTTCCCCTCCCCTGAACAACTAATGTAACAGTTTCGTGTGTATCTTTAAAGAGACACTCTATACAATGCAAGTAGTTACACTTACTTTAATTTGTCCCTGCTCTTTATACACAAATGGTAGGAATACTATATACTTTGTTCTACTATCCCCTTATTTTTTCCTGTTAAAAATACACATTGGAGGGCTTCCCTGGTGGTGCAGTGGTTGAGAGTCCATCTGCTGATGCAGGGGACACGGGTTCGTGCCCTGGTCCGGGAAGATCCCACATGCCGCGCGCAGAGCAGCTGGGCCCGTGAGCCATGGCCGCTGAGCCTGCGCGTCCGGAGCCTGTGCTCCACAACGGGAGAGGCCACAACAGTGAGAGGCCCGCGTACCGCAAAAAAAAAAAAAATACACATTGGAAACTGTTCCCTGTATTATATGAAGTCTCTTGCTTTTTTTCCTTTTTTCCTAATGTTTGCAAGGTATACCACTGTATGGATAAACCATAATTTAACTATTGTCCTACTAGAAAGGTTACTTCCAACCTTTTGTATTTACAAACAATATGATAATGAATAACTCATTATTTCATACACCTATAGGATAAATTCCTAGAAGTTGAATTGCTGGGTTAACTTTAATAAATACTGTCATTCTCTATAGAGGTGGTACAAATTTGTACTCCTACCAGTAATGCATGAGTGTTTTTGCATGTTTTAAAATTTTATATGAATAACATGACTATATATATTCTTCAACTTCTTGTTTTTGTGGCCTAACCTTATATACTTGAAATTCACCCATGCTGATATATATAGCTCTAATTCACATATCGATTTTTTACTTAAAGAAGCTTTTAAGTAACTTCTTTGATTCGTTCAAAGAGTCACCTATTTATCTTAAATTGCAGTTTTATATAGAAATACTCACCAAATTAATAAATAGATTGTATGTATAAACAACTCATTTGCCAAAGACTACCCACCCTACTAAAGAGGCATCTTCTTTTGAAAAACTAACAAAAACTGTCATTTAAATTTACTGCAGTAGTAACATGACTCTGTTCATCCATGCTTTTATAATTGTTCTGGGAGGAAAGGGGAGTAGACCCCACAAGGGAGGGGAGACTAACACCTTGACAACCGGGGATAGGGGGGAAAGAAAAAAGTATCTTGGAAATAATAAGATAATTCAAGCATAATCCCAAACTAACCCTAGTTGTCTATTTGAAGTTTCCCCTCAAAATGTTACCATTAAATTACCAAAGGATCTTTTTTAAACCTGTAACAAGAAACAAAATAATTCATATGAATTTAAAGTCCTCTCTGCCCCCCTCCCCCAATAAGTTTCCTATAAGATGGAATACCATATCGGGAATTTTTCTGCATATCTGTATCACATCCTCTATTAGACTCCTTTTCTATGTTAAATTTAGCAATGTGTATGACTAATTTTAAAACCTCTAGCTAATCCAAATTGTCTCCATTGAAATATGTGGCTAATCATATAATTTATAAAAATTCTTGTCAAATTCTTGGCTATTGTAAGTTACCATCGTCACCACTACAGTGGCTATTTTTGCTTGCTCACTGGGCAGCTATGTCCCCCTTCCTCTCTTCTAAAAAAAACCCCATTTCTATGTAGGTATCTACTCTGTCCCCCCATACTATTCAAGTACTTCAGAAGAAGATGCCCCCCCACACACACATCCACACACGTCCAGGAGTGGGCCATATTCCTCTAAGGATAATACCATCTCCCCTGCTAGTGCCTACTTATAGGAACACAAGCCTAAGCCAGTTAGCACATGGTATCCCTGGCCAGAGGGACTGATTGAGCCAATGAGACTCATGAGGGCTATGCTGGGGCTTCCTTGCTCTGGACAGAGAACCACAGAAAGAGATGCTCTTGGCTAGGCTGAGTTGGATTTTCTTATTTGGGGCAGAAAGCATCCCAACTGTTTAACAACTTTAAAAAATGCACTGGTTGGGGCTTCCCTGGTGGCTCAGTGGTTGGGAGTCCTCCTGCCGATGCAGGGGACGCGGGTTCGTGCCCCGGTCCAGGAAGATCCCACATGCCGCGGAGCGGCTAGGCCCGTGAGCCATGGCCGCTGGGCCTGCGCATCCGGAGCCTGTGCTCTGCAGCAGGAGAGGCCACAACAGTGAGAGGCCCAAGTACCGCAAAAAA